GGAAGTAAACGGAACGAGTGGGCAGCGACTTCCACGGAACCACACATACTTCCATGGAAGTTACTTCCATGGAAGTAAACGGAACGAGTGGGCAGCGACTTCCACGGAACCACACATACTTCCATGGAAGTAACTTCCATGGAAGTAAACGGAACGAGTGGGCAGCGACTTCCACGGAACCACACATACTTCCATGGACGTTACTTCCATGGAAGTAAACGGAACGAGTGGGCAGCGACTTCCACGGAACCACACTTACTGCCGTGGACGTTACTTCCATGGAAGTAAACGGAACGATTGGGCAGCGACGTCCATGGAAGATAATCGACTTCCATGGAAGTTACTTCCATGGAAGTTACTTCCATGGAAGCGTTCGTCTCGATTCCCACGTACCTTCCATGGAACGTTGTCAACTTCCATGGAAGACGTTCCTTGCACTTCCTTGGAAGTCATTGAATTTGCCATAGCTCAACTTCCGTGGAATTCAGCGACTTCCATGGAAGCCATTATTCGAACTTCCGTGGGAGTGTCCAATGGCGAGCAAAGGTCGTCTTCCATCAACTTCCATGTGGTATCGATAGTTAATCCGTGGAAGGTGCGTGTACGCTACCTTCGCCAAAACAACGTAGTAGGTGAAATAGGCCGCATGATGATTGACCTGGAAACAAGTGATAGTGTTGTGTAAGTCACATTGCTTCCGTGGAAGTTCACAAAAGCGTCGGTCCGTGGAAGTCATCCTGAGCCTCATCACCAAGCCGGCTGGTTGCATGCCGTCGTCGATTATAGTAAGTGAAGTGGGGAACATGGATTACTTTTACGGAAGCTGCAGCGGGCGCCATAGCCACATTGTAACTTTGACGGAAGCTCAAGACTGACAGACGTGGCTGGCACATTGCTCTGCGGAAGCTCACAAGTGGCTCGTTACAAATGGCGAGTCTACTTCTAGGGAAGCAGTCTGTTCGATACCGAAGCTGACAATAGAATAGATGTGAAAGTCACACCGGTTCTGCGGAAGCTGGCTGTATACTACCACTTCCTCGCCACAACGTGTAAGTGGGATCTAGGGCATGGTTTTCTTCCACGGAGCTCACGTTATTACTTCCTTGAAAGCTTATATTGCAGCGGTCGTGGAAGTTAGACAATGCAGGTAGCGAAAGTGCGTCTGCTCCTAGGGAAGCAGGCTGTTTCATGTCATCGTCCAGCCAAACGACGTAGTGCAACAAACTAGTTCCTTCAACGTACGTTAACGGCATGCCGCAGTGGACGCGTAAGCCGCCGCGTTTTGCAACAGCAGCAATCGAGGTCTGCATGCAATTTTTTGCCCTGGTTCACTTTTGCCTCCACAACCCGAGAATCCCACGGCTGTATCTCGGCCTACAATACTCCAATCAACAAACCAGCACTGGCAGAAGTGCGTGGAAGATGCTGTGACAGCACAACAACTAGGTCGACACTCGTACGACTTCTATGTACAGTCGGCGTCTGGTCCATACTGCTGTAGAAACCCAAATATCGAGCCATCTTTTTTTTTTATTCCGATGCCAGTAACAAGAAATGTATCACGTCACGACGATCCTGTGAGTATTTATATATAACACGATAGTTTTGATGGACGGATTCCCATGTTAGTCCGGTAGTACTTCCGTACAAGTGCAGGCGATACTTCTTTCCATGGAAGCAACCACCGCTGCATCCATGGGAGCTCAGTCTACCCCCCTTTAAGATTAACCCATGTGCATGGAAATCGCGTAATCGCGTTGAGCTACGGTGGGGGAGTCGCACTGCTGTAGCTTCCAGGCGGCTTCCATTAAAGCGTGACAAAATGCCCTGCGCTTCCGAGATGTACTTGCATCGAAAGTAGAAAACGACTGATACGGAAGCCAGTTTCATGCTACGGACACGATAACACTCGATTATACGGTTGCTCAGCGGAAATGTTTCGGTTGTGGAAATGATCTCCGAACCACAGGCAAACCTAGGTTGGTGAAATTGGATATATATAAAGGGTACTTCCACGAAAGGTCACATATGGGTGACTGTGTACGCGACAGTATTTCCGCGGAAGCTAGTACAGCGGGCGTCTAAGCCACCTTTAGACGTGCCTGGCATATTGCTGCTGCGGAAGCTCACAAGAGGGCTCGTGAAAAGAGGTGAGTCTAATTTCAGAAAAGTAGTCTGTTTGATACCGAAGCTCTGTCTACCCCCATGGAAGTTGCTTATCGCGTTGTTGCTGCTGATACTTCCGTCCATCAATGATAGTAGAAAGCGACTGATACGGAAGCCAGTTACATCCTACGTACACGATACTCAATTCTGCGGGAGCTCGGCGGACAGGTTTCGGAGGTCCCATAGCTTCCACGGAATCTTACTTCGGTGGTTGTGGAAGTTGTTCCGTGGAAGTTACTGCCAATTACGCGCATAGGATCGATGTACGGACTTCGATGGAAGTTCGGTTGTGCTTCCTTACAAGTGCAGGCGATACGTCCATGGAAGCAGCGTGGAAGCGACCACCGCACCTTCCATAGACGCTCTGTCTACCGTGATGTACTTCCATCGATAGTAGAGAGCGACTGACTAGGAAGCCCGTTTCATCCTACGGACACGACACTCAATTCTACGGAAGCTCGGCGGACAGGTTTCGGAGGTCCCATAGCTTCCACATAAGCTTACTTCGGCGGTTGCGGAAGTTGTTTCGTGAAGTTACTGCCAATTACGCGCATAGAATCGATGGACGGACTCCGACGGAAGTCCGGTCGTACTTCCTTACAAGTGCAGGCGTTACTTCCTTGGAAGCAGCGTGGAAGCAACCACCACCGGACACGATACGCGCATGGGATCGATGTACGGACTCCGATGGAAGTCCGGTTGTCCTTCCCTACAAGTGCAGTCGCTACTTCCATGGAAGCTCTGTCTACCCCCATGGAAGTTGCTTCCATGGAAGCTCTGTCTACCCCCATGAAAGTTGCTTCCATGGAAGCTCTGTCTACCCCCATGGAAGTTGCTTCCATGCAAATGGCGTTGAAGTGCCGTGGGGGGGTCGCGCAGCTGGAGCTTCCATGCGGCTTCCATGAAAGTGTGGCAAACTTACATGGGCTTCCGTCATGGACTTCCACCGATAGTAGAAAACGTATATTACGGAAGCCCCTGTCATGCTACGGAGACGATACTCAATTCTACGGAAGCTCGGCGGAAAGGTTTCGGAGGTCCCATAGCTTCCTTGAAAGCTTACTTCGGCGGTTGTGGAAGTTGTTCCGTGGAAGGTACTTCCTAGTGCGCGCATAGGATCAATGGACGGACTCCAATAGAAGTCCGGTCGTACTTCCTTACAAGTACAGGCGATACTTTCGTGGAAACGCCGTGGAAGCAACCACCGCCGCTTCCATTGAAGCTCTGTCTAACCCCATGAAAGTTGCTTCCATGGGAATGGGGTTGAAGTGCCGTTGGGGGGTCGCACTGCTGGAGCTTCCAGCCGGCTTCCATGAAAGAATGGCAAACTTACATGGGCTTCCGCCATGTACTTCCAGTGATAGTAGAAAGCGACTGATACGGAAGCCCCTGTCATCCTACAGACACGATACTCAATTCCGCGGAAGCTCGGCGGACAGGTTTCGGAGGTCCCATAGCTTCCACCGAAGCTTACTTCGGCGGTTGTGGAAGTTGTTCCGTGGAAGTTACTGCCAATTGCACGCATAGGATCGATGTACGGACTCCGATGGAAGTCCGGTTGTGCTTCCTTACAAGTGCAGGCGATACTTCCATGGAAGCAGCGTGGAAGCGACCACCGCACCTTCCATAGACGCTCTGTCTACCGTGGTATACTTCCATCGATAGTAGAAAGCGACTGACTAGGAAGCCAGTTTCATCCTACGGACACGGCACTCGATTCTACGGAAGCTCGGCGAACAGGTTTCGGAGGTCCCATAGCTTCCACAGAAGCTTACTTCGGCGTGGGTCGTGGAAGTTGTTCCGTGGAAGATACTACCAAATACGCGCATAGAATCGATGGACGGACTCCGACGGAAGTCCGGTCGTACTTCCTTACAAGTGCAGGCGATACTTCCATGGAAGCGGCGTGGAAGCAACCACCACCGGACACGATACGCGCATGGGATCGATGTACGGACTCCGATGGAAGTCCGGTTGTGCTTCCTTACAAATGCAGTCGCTACTTCCATGGAAGCAGCGTGGAACCAACCACCGCCGCTTCCATGGAAGCTCTGTCTACCCCCATGGAAGTTGCTTCCATGCAAATGGCGTTGAAGTGCCGTGGGGGGGGTCGCGCAGCTGGAGCTTCCACGCGGCTTCCATGAAAGTGTGGCAAACTTACATGTGCTTCCGTCCTGGGCTTCCAACGATAGTAGAAAACGTATAATACGGAAGCCCCTGTCATGCTACGGAGACGATACTCAATTCTACGGAAGCTCGACGGAAAGGTTTCGGAGGTCCCATAGCTTCCACGGAAGCTTAGTTCGGCGGTTGTGGAAATTGTTCTGTGAAAGGTACTTCCTAGTACGCGCATATGATCAATGGACGGACTCCAATAGAAGTCCGGTCGTACTTCCTTACAAGTGCAGGCGATACTTCCATGGAAGCAGGGTGGAAGCAACCACCGCCGTTTTCACGGACGCTCTGTCTACCGTGATGTACTTCCATCGATAGTAGAAAGCGACTGACTAGGAAGCCAGTGTAGGTACTACCACGAAAGCTCACGTGAGTGACTGTGTATGCGGCAGGATTTCGAATAAAGCTCACTACACCGGCTCGGCACTATTGTCAGCTACAGTGACATCAACCCAGCGCGTACCACCACAGTAGCAACGACAAAGGACCAATTATTAGGCTACATTGCACGAGTTGCAAAGGATCGCGCGAACCGTCCCTGATGGAGTAGCGACCCACCCACCTACCCCGAGTCCGCTACGCAAGAAACAAAACCCTCATAACACCAAAGCCGGACCGGACCGATAGGTGTCCCCTAGAATCGGGGATATCCAGTATCATCAGCCGGAGCATCCTTCCACCTTCCCCTCCCCTCCCCTTTTACCGCCCGCACCCGCCACCCGTTTGGCGTTGCTGGACTTCTTGCGGACCCTCTTGGGTTTAGGGGTGTTGGGGGCGGGGTGTTTTTCCGTGGCCTCGTCCCACGGGGTTGATTCGTCACAGCATGTGGTGTCGTGGCAGACGTTAACCGCGTCCAGCTTCAAGTGCCACCTGGGGGAAACAAGGGTATTTAAAATCGACGCCGGAGATATGGAAATAAAAACTAACCATCCACCAGTCACACCGATGTACATGTATATGAACGAAGTCGTCCTTTTGTCACTGACAACCATGAACCGCAACTCACAATCACAAAATGCCGTCGATGTTGTCGCAGAACGTGAAATAGTGTTGGGAAATTAAAAATACAACCTCGGGCTACAGGGGTACTTTGCAGCGTCTGCTACCTACCGTGGACGGCAACACCGCACTGAGCGAGTCCTAATGAGGTGGGCCCAACGAAATTCCGGGTGGGAGCGAAAATCCGGGAACAGCACAATCGAACGGTTGCCTTGTATACGAATGTACACCGCACGTACCTGTTTGCAGTAGGGAAACTGCATCCAGGAACCAGAGGGTACGTAATGGTGCCGTCCTTGCTCTTGACCTTGCTCTGGATGAGGGAGACCTTGGCCCGTCCTTGCTTACGCGTCCGCTTCAGAGCCAGGTGCGCCTCGTTCCACTCGCGCATATCCTTGACGGTGCACGCGCCAAACTTACAGGCGTTGACACATTCGCGGAAATGCTCCAGCTCCGGATCATCACCGAAGATCGAGTCGTCGAGAGAGGGGCTCACATCTTCGTTCTCGTCTTATTGTACACAAATCAGAACCAGGGCATTCGCAGACACGGGAAAGGACAGTCCGGAGTGTACGTGAACGGGTTAGCGGCGGTTGGCGGAGGGAACCATTACAGGCGTCGACACGCTATCGTCCAGCCGGAAAACTGTTCGAAACTGACGGACTATTTTAGGTCACTCGCGGGTTAGAGCTTTGCGAGGGCGTATTAGGCACGGCGAGTACGCCAGCTCAGCTCAAAGCGTTCATTTCCGAAAAAAGAAAGTGGTGCCTTACTTGCAAATGGGAACTGCCGGCGGAAAAGTCTCAGAAAACAACATTGTTACACAAGGTTAACGTCGTCGATATATCCCCTACTGAGGCGTGTATCTTGATGACTTTGGCGTGTGGTTTTCGATCTTATGGAAACAAGTTCGCGACGCAGTGTAGTCAAAGGCGCGAAAACAGCTACAACAGTAAGAGAGGCTTGACGCCCTGAACACACGACCGGATGTCGAACAAAAATCGCGACAGCTTCGGGACACAGGTGAGAGTGCTCGTAGAAACATAATGCCCCAGGTCCATAGGAGATAGTACGCAACCGATCTTCCACATTGTTTTACAAAGGTGTACCGCTTTGATGGAAGTATAATGCAGCATCCATGGAAGTTGAATATAATTCCAAGGAAGCTGATATCTGTACCATGGAAGCGCGAGACGGCACTTTCGAAGCGCGAGACGGCACTTCCATGGAAGCGATAGTAACTTCCATGGCACAGAAGATATGGAACACCGATGCGCCAATTTCACGGCAGTTAGCTTCCACGGAAGAACCATTCGACCCCCATGGAAATGAAATAGCTTCCATGGAAGTTGAACCTTAGTCTTCCATGGAAGCTATTCAAAACAGGATTATGGCAGCATCCATGGAAGTATTCAACCTCGGGTTAACTTCCACGGCGTCTTATCAGGGTGAGGGTTAGGGTAGGGAAGCTGAAATGAAAACATCTCCAGACGCTTAGGTGGAAGTTGCCTTCATGGAATTTTCTGTGCCGCGACGGAAGTCGGTTTCGACCTCTGTCACCAACTTCCATGGAAGGTGCTTTCATAGGATTTTACACGCTGCCATGGAAGTAGCAAAGACTCTGTCAGGCGCCGAGCCTCCATCAACGTAGTACTTCTCCGAAAGTTCGGCGCGCTTCGTTCGAAGTCCGAAATGCAAATTCCATTGAAGCAACGAGCGGTTGCTACCGGGTCCTTCCATGGAAACGGATTAACATCCATGGAAGTTGTTCATCGCTTCCATGGAAGCATCATGGAAGCTGTAACCCGAAACAGGCGAACATATTCCATGGAAGTATATGGAAGTCTACTTGACTTCCATGGAAGTCAATTCACGAAACAGGCGAACGGATTCCATGGAAGTCAATTTCGACTTCCACGGAAGCTTGTTCCATTTGCCAAATAGTGTGGGTTACCCTAGACAACTCGCCGAAACATGACACTACTCATAAGGTCGTATTGTGGAGGACACCTGTCAGGAGTATAACCAACCATGTGTGCACATACAAAGTGTAGGAAGATATGGCTCCCTCGGGGTATCTTGTCACAAGGAGAGTGACAGGAAATGCACCGTCGGAGATGGATATCTTCCGAAGTCCCTGGCCACTTGCCGAAAGTGGAAGCGGAGAGTCTTCGACTCTCCTCTCCCTCTGCCGCTATGGCCGCTCTCTCTTTCTACCCTCTTCTCCTCGTTTACACATCACGAGAGGAAATAGCCTTCCCCTGGCAGTGGGATAATACTGCCACGGCACCGGCATCTGTCTCCGACAATAGCCAGTGTCCTCATTGGCGTCGACTAGAACACGGCTCCGCCGTGCTACTGTAGCGAGGAGAGACAACCAAGAAAAAGAGAAACAACATGCCGAAAACCTCTTCACAAAAGCGGAGAGACTTACGCGATGAAGTCAGGGAGGCGAACGCACTCGTCGCTGACAAGAATGCGGCGCTGGCGAGGCAGGCGCAGGAGCTGGAGGAGCTGCGGAAACAGCTCGGCGTCACTGTTTCCCCGTCACCGTTGATCTCTGAAACGCCGGGAAGGGGCACCCCCTCTCAACGCGTGTCTGCGCAGCGTCCCTCTCGGGGAGACCACTCCCAACAGGAGTCGATTCCCGAAGAGGACGAGCCGGGCACCGGTGAGGAGAAAGGAGCCACCCCGGAGAATTCGGACAACGACGGTGACGAGGAACATGACGGCGACGAGGAATGGGCTAACCAGAGCGAACGGCACATCATGTACCAATTGCTCGAGGGCTTCCGGTCACAGGACGTGTCCGCGGATGACCGACAGGCGCTCATGACCTCCGCTGGGGGACAATTCGCTGACATGCTCTCCCGCCACTGGAAGGAGCAGTCGAATCCACCCGAGTGGCTGGTGTCCCTCTTCCGTCCTACCGCAACTCCACCCACCACGACTCCAGCCTCTGCAGCAGAGGTGGCCCAGGTGAATACTTCTTCGACAGCACGTAGCAGTATACCAGTTGAGGGAAATCAGAGCAGTGGAGGGAGTACCTCCCCCGGCCTAGTTTTTCGTCAACCAATCTTGCCCGCTGTCACTCAGAACACACCTGTCCATCCTCGGAACCTAGCCCCTGATTTAACATCTACTCCGGATAGCCAAGATAGTGATTACAGGCCTAGCAACCCTGTAGCACCCGAGTTGGCCCCTACTCCGGATAGCCAGGACAGCGCACACAGGACTAGCAACCCTGTCGCACTGTCTACGCCCCCGCTTGCGCGTTTTTCTATGCCCACAAGCACCCCTACCTCAACGCATACATCGGGACACAACCAGAAGTTTACCTTTCGCCAGAACGACCTTCCGAAAGAAATATCGTTTTCGGGGACTCCAGGAGATTCCGATGTTGTTGAGATTCTGACCCGATACCGAGCACGTGTGAAACTAGCCTCTGTTGCAGCAGACGACCCGCCCGAATCTGTAGTAGACCAAAGAGCGATTCAATTCCTCCCCTTCGTCATTCGAGGCCAAGCCTATGACACTCTAGTGGGACTGGTTAGTGGTACTCTCGAATGGCGATCGGCACACCGGTTGACCGCACTTCGGAACACAGGACAAGTTGTCAGGCCACGAGCACCGGCAACTTGGGACGAATACTGTCAAGCTTTTACCTTTCATTTCTCCGCGCCCAACCGCATTGCGGTATTAGCCAGAGAGATAGCCGTTCTCAGGCAGGAAGGAGAGACGACAGTGGACGGGTTTGCGCTGAAAGTTACTCAGGCCCGCACACGCCTCCTAGCAGAGGCGGCTCGCTCAGGTCCCTCTCACATTAGCCACTACGAACACGCATGGGACGTTTTCATGACTGCCACATTTGAGAACGGCCTGAAACCTCACATTAGAGTAGAGTGTGTTCGAGAGGACCCCCCAAACTCATTTCAGGACGCAAGACTCCGCGCGAAAAAACACGAGGCAAATAATCTGAGAGGCGCAGCGTCACCCATATCCGACACCGTATCCGCTGTTGCGTACCCTGAACCCCCACAGCTGAAGCAAACCGTGTCCTCGAACACGGCGGTCATTAAAAGACCTACAAGCTGAAGTAACGAGGCTCAAGTCGATGCGGGGCCCCACCAAGACCAGTTCGAGTCAGGGCGCCCCTAAAAAGGCGCGCACCACGGGCAAGGGCAGTTCTTCTTCGGCAACGAAGGCAGAACCGTGCCCCTACCCGGGGTGCAAGTTCAACCACCCCATCGAACAGTGTGGGCTAAAGAAAAAGCACGCACTGGAGAAGGGATGGACTTGGACAAAAGCATGACGGGGCCCTTCACGGGACTCCTCGCTCGTAGGGAGACAGGTCGATAGCACACCATTAGCTGAGGAAACTCATGTAGCACAGAATGCCCGAGTTGACTCAGCCCCGTATGTGCATGACAGTAGAAAATCGAGGGAATCATTTTTTCCTCGGGTGAGAGGTGGTGATGTGAAGTCCGTTCAAGATTCTAGCAGTAATTCTGAGACATCGGTAGCAGATTCTGCCCAGGCACTGTTTCATAGTCGGTCAAGTAGCAAAGCAGGGAAAAATAGGAAGAACAAGCGCACTCGTGTGCCGACTTCTAGGTTAGCCCCGCAAGCTGAATTTGTACTGACTGGTAGTATGCCATTTAATCATAACACGGAAAGACATGCCTCTGTTTCAAGTGCATCGAGTGGTGGACCCACTTATGCGGCGTTTCATGCGTCAGCACTGAGTAAATACCCACAACACCCGAATGCGTTAAATTCGTCCTCCAAGAGAGTGCGAATTCCTGCCCGAGTTTGTAATCACGCTGTGTCCGACCTTACTATCGACACAGCAGCTGATGTACCGTGTATATCAGCGTCTTTTATTAAATCGCATCCGGTCCTGCAACGTTTGCCTCTGAAACCTGTGCCTCCTGGCGCAATTCAGTTGAATAGCGCAGACGGATCAGCGTTAGAAATCCTAGGATACATCCGATTTAAGCTCACACTGGGAGATATCACATTACCAGTAGAAGCTCTCGTGTTGCCCAATCTAGGTCCGGATAAGATGTTGCTCGATAATAGCATTATGAATGCCTTCGGTGCCGTCCTTGATTGGTGCGGTGAGCAACTTTCGTTTAAAAATTCAACACGAAAAATTCCGGCAACTCACAGACGAACGAATAGTCAAGCGGACACTAATAATGATGCCCCCGCGCAAATATCTATAGTGACGCTTGACCCATCGATAGGAGCAGTGCCCGTATATCTCTCTAGGAGATACTGCATTCCCCCCGAAAGTGAAATGGCACTAGACGTCGTGACGAAACATGCACCACAGGCAAACACGCCTGCGTTGATCGAACCACGGATTGTCACTGCCAAAGACATCGAAACGTCTGAAAATATACCCGAAGCGTTCCGTACAATCGTAGTCGCTAGATTGGTATGCAATTGGTCAGCAACGGACAAGTCTGCTGCGGTACAAGTTGCTAATCCATCCAAACGACACGTTCACATTGCGCGTGACACTATTTTAGGGTACATTTCGCCTGTAAAATCGGTTGCCGATAAAACAGTTAGCGCTGTCAATAGCGACCAAACCACATTCAGACACAAGCGAGACGAGTTGAAACGAGCCATGAAAAAAGCGTTCACGAACACTACATTTACTCCTCAACAATGCTCGCAAGTCTTGGATTTATGCGCGAAATATCGTAACGTGTTTTCATTATCTCCGAAGGAGCTCGGAAAATGCACGATAGCCAAGGCAGATTTTCCGCTAGAACCAGGCACTAAACCAGTCGACCGTGCTCCCTATCGTACTAATCCTAGAGCACAAGAAGTTATCGACAAGTGTGTGGAACAAATGGAAGACGAGGAGATTATTGAACAGAGACCCAGTTCGTGGGGATCTGCAGTTACCATCGTAGCAAAAGCTGATGGCACTCCTCGATTCTGCGTTGACTACCGCTCTACTATTAACAAGAGTTTAATTCGAAAATCTTGGCCCATGCCAGATATAGAATCCCATATTGATACCGTTGGAGGTGCAAAATTTATTACTGTCTGCGATATCCAGTCAGCCTACCACCAAATCGAAGTAGACGAAGCAGAACAAGAAAAGACTGCGTTTGTGACACACAAAGGGAAATGGGTTTTCAAACGCCTCCCCTTCGGAATTGCGAATGCTCCTTTTCTATTTGCCCGTATGATGTCTCTGGCATTCTCTCACTTCGGACCACGCAGTGGACTTTTGGTGTATATGGACGACATTATTTGCTGCAGCTCAAATTGGGAGAGCCATCTAACCTTATTAGAAAGCATGCTCCAAGCACTCCAAGCGGCCGGTCTTACCTTGAAACCCTCCAAAGTACAATTTGGACCACAGGAAGTAAAATACCTGGGGCATATACTGTCGGCAAAAGGGATTCGTGTTGGGGAAGATCGTAAAAAGTCTATTGTCGATTTGCCTGCACCCAAAACAATCAAAGCGCTTCGCTCAGTATTGGGAATGGTGAACTATGTGAGGAAATTTATACCCGACCTTTCTACGGTGATCGCACCGCTAGTCGAACTCACACAAAAAGAGCATGTAAAATCGATCGCAAAACGTTGGAACCAGGAACATGATAAGGCTTTTGCAGAGATCAAACGGTTACTCAGCAAAGCACCTGTGTTATGTTTCCCTGACTTTACCAAAGACTTCGTGGTTCACGTAGATGCTAGTGAAGTTGGTGCAGGAGCATTCCTGGGCCAAAAGAACGGCGACGATGTGAATATTATCGCTTATTTTAGCCAACGATTTAACAAGGCTCAACGTCATTACTCTGCGACGATGAAGGAATGTTACGGTGTGGTTTTGAGTTTACAACACTGGCGACCCTACTTGTGGGGCAGACATTTCGAAGTTGTCACGGATCACGCGGCATTGAGATATTTGTACACAATGCAAGACACGTCTAATATGCTGACCAGATGGGCAATCGCTTTGCAGTCCTTTGACTTTACAGTGCGACACAAGCCGGGAAAGTTACATGTAGTCCCAGACACCCTATCTCGGTTGTTTGCGTTCGATCACCAACAACAGTTGGAAGCACCGCAACTTGCACCGATATGTAGGAATGTGCCTGATGACCCTGCGCTGCATTCAAATGTCCCACCACGTCCGTACCAAGTGTCTGCAGATCGTTTGGAAAACTTGCGACCGGTTTAAAGTGATCGCGAATTATTCGCTGAGAAATCAGTTTATATTAGCGCGACCAACGTATTTGAAACTATTAACCGCGATATCTTGCGTGAAAAACAAGCTCTTGAACATAGCAATATATCGACTATCTTACAAAACCTGACGCTCAATTACCTGATGACGAGACAACCACTTCCATGTCGTACTACTTCGTGCGTGATGGATTGCTGTTTAAATCGTATTTACCAGGCTACCTCCGGAAACGTAGTACGTTTAGTGACCAATTGGTGTTGCCTTACGCCCTTACCGGACTAGTGCTACACGCCTATCATGACCACGTATTATCTGGGGGCCACTTAGCGTCTAGACCGACTTATGAGAAGATTCGCCAAAAGTACTGGTGGCCAACCATGAATCGGGACGTCCGTACTTGGTGTCAAGAATGCCAAGCCTGTCAACGTCGGAAAACAGCCCACAACCGGAACAAATTACCAACGGGACATGTACCAGTACAAAGACCGTTTGAACGTATTTCGGTTGACCTAGTTGAATATAAAGTAAAATCAGTTTCAGCCGCCGGGGTACGGTGCAAACATGTCCTATCCATGATGGACCA